AACGCAATGTATTTCTAGCGCATTTTCTCATTTTGGGAAAAAAATGCACTATTGTGCTCGCCATGTACGTCCGTCTGTCCGTCCGTGACTTCACGTTTTCGTCGACGAGAAAATGCGCTCTCGGTCCCTCACTGCACTGAGTTATATTATTTACATCAAATTGAAATTCTTAATTTTTTTTAAATAGACCTACCTTGTTTGTTTTATTCATTCAATTAACCTTGTTAAGAATACGCACCCCATGACGTCTGGGATGCTTGTTCATAACAAGATCCAATGTCTGTAACGATTGTGTATAAAAGAAATAAATTCCGAGCATACTCGAGTAATATGATATAAACTTTCGAAACAAAGAGAGTAATAGGTAAGTTGTCCAATCTTAACTTCTTGCGAATTGGGTGTTCACCAGCCATTTAGCCTCATCAGTTGTGGACTGCTAAAGTCAAAAGGAAAATTTCAGATCTCCAGGAGACAAGTCTTAAGCTTCACAAGAACCAGCTACTATATACTACTAAAAGAGCCCAATGAACATCTCCATGTTAAAATAATCTAATATTGTGGGATCAGCTCTGGTTAGGTCATGCTGACCGGTCGCAGATTTTTTACCAGCTGACCATGACAATCTTCGCCGGTTTGGGGTAGAATTTTACAGCTAATAGCAGGTTTCGAAAACCCACCCCCCCCCCACTAATTGTTCTAATCTTAGTGGTTTCAGCCACAATGGGACCCACCGAGTTATGGTGTATTCATAAGGTAATGAAAACTTAAAAGTATTTTTGGATTTTTATTACAACACTTGGCACATACAGCGACAGCGAGCACACCGACAAATAATTGGGCGTATATATCCATCTAGCAGCTAAGCAAGTTAACTATGTTGCAACTATGCCACGCCCTAAGGAAGCATGCGCATTAGTAAATTGCACTATGCGAAAAATAACTCCAGAAATTTCTTAGTCAGAATCACTGCATCGAGATTTTTCCCAAGGCTAATTATTTTATTACCGAAGGTGATGACCGAAAAATACGATGCATCGTTTCAGACAAAGAAACTCGTTAATTTACGGAGACTTATCTACTGCGCACATCATGTTTACAGGGTAAAAACAGTGAAATTGATTTATAATAACATATCTCATTACCCTCGTCCAAAGAACACCCCAAAAATCCACCCGTCTTCACGATCAGCTCAGTTAGTATTCCTGTTTTAAGTTAGCACAGCAAACAACAATTAGCTTAGTGATTCCACAACACGAAAAATTGGCTACCATTTTTTTCCGGTCACAATTAAAAGACAACAGTTCACATCGAGGAAAATTAGTTATATGTAGCAGAAGTATGTTGAGCTCAATTGTTGTGCGCAGAACTTCAAACTTATTAACAATACTGTAGAAGACTCCAACAATTATTGATCAAATACTGAAAGATTACATTAAAAATCGATTAGGCGCTTGTCAAAGAATTTTTTACACAAGACTGAAAAATCATTCGCTGTCGAATAATATTACGATAAAAAAATTATACACTTGTAAACTAATGTTAAATTTCTCAAGCCGATCTCCGAATAAATATTGAATGTCACGAATGTCAGCGGAGGAGTAGGTAGTCAATCATGTATGCTTCAATGCCCATCATGATTGCAGAAATTAAATTTTGCGTCAAGAGCGACTTTGAAATTATATCGAAGACTCATTCAATGCGAAAATACGAAGGAATGTCAGTTTCAGACTAATGCTCAATACAAGCTTTTAGCGTTTCTCTAGCAGTGTTACATGTACACATAGTCACACATTCCACTATATGATGACTTAGATTACCATTCATAGTACGATGTTGTCAGCAGAGACGTGCACGTCTTAGAGGTCGAACAAGCGATAACGCCCAAGCAGGAGTACGTTCAGGAGATTCAGGGTTGCAGATAATTCGAGACTTAGGGTTTAATATTAGGGGTTTAGGGTACAGTTAAATATAAAAGACAAGTTTCAATACGAGGGTTAAAATTCAATAGAGGGGTCGATGAATAAATAGTACGAGGATCGAGGTTCAATGCGGCAGTCAATATTCAAAATCAATATTAATACAACAATCTAATGTATTTAGGGTTATATGACACAATAAATATATTAATTAATATTTTACTCTCCATCTTTATGGGCAACATTTAAATCCCGTTTTCATTTATCAACTCGATGAAATGTAACAGCAGGGAGACAGATTTGGATACATTGGGAGCAATTGAGTGCGTCAGTCATAAATATTCAACGCCTACGAGTTCCAGCCAAATGGATCCTATTGATCTCAATGGAGGCAATTATAGTATTGACCTCAAATTGCATTTGTCGCAAATTGAAAGAAAACGTTAGCCTCAAAAGTTGAATGCGCGCATCATGATACATTGAGTATCCTTGTTGAGTAAGTGGAGTCCGTGCAAGTTTTGTAGGCTTGAGATTATATTACGAGACAAGGTGCACCACTAATCCACCGTCTTACACACTAGTGTTCTGGCCAAGAAGCATCTAACGAAAAAAAAAAGAGATACACATACGGTACTTCTACTCTAGCACAACCCATCAAAATATAAATGAGAATAGGCACGGAAAAGTTCATTTTTTGAAAGTACACATGAGAATATTCTATGTCCTGCTCGTGAGTGTAAGCTGTATACAGCAAATTCAGAGCACTAACTTCAACTCTGATTGCGCTGCACTAGGTATCAACAATTCATTTCTATGCATCAAACTATGGTAGAAATCGACTTCACACGAAGTCTAAGTAATGATTGTTTGTTATGGTTGACAGAAGAGCGGCGTTTCCAGCATCCTACGTGGCCGTTGCTCTCATGTACGCATAAATCACAGCTTGGCTAACTAACTACGAGCAGCTGGTTGACTATACAAGTTCACAGTCGCCGAATACTTACATGGGTGTTGTTTGAAAAGCTATTGTAAGAGTCTATACTTATTTAAAGCTACTAATGATACAATACAATGTCTTACATAATTAAAAACACATTTACGTTCCAACAAATCAATGGGTCTGACAAGTTATGGTGGTAAAGCCAGTCTTCATTATACACAATGCTAACATACAACCATTTCACGCCTCCATAGACCATTAGAAACACTTCAGCTCATATTCGTTATCCAACTAATCGCTCACGTCGTTCATCAAATCGATTCTCTCAAAGTTCAATACTTCAATGCATTGTCTTTCTTAATAATTTTTCGATAAACATTATACATTTAAACACCACTGACATCAACATATTTCCATCAATGTAGCGACTACTACTCACAACAAATCGCGATATCACTCTTGGAGATAGAGGTACGTATATCATTTGTGATGGTAAAAGCAACGCACTTACGTTCCAAACTAAACTGTTTTTACCTCACTTAACTAGTTCTCATCACACAGAGTGAAAATAACTAAGTGGATTTCCACAACCGAGCATTTAAGTTCAAGTTCACAAAATAAGGTGCGTAATGACACATAAGACCAATAAACAAGTATCACAGGACGGAAGAGAATAAGAGCAGATGAGATGACAGAACCGTCTTGCAGTGGCCCAGTTCTCCCGCTTATCACATACGTAGGCATACAAGCAACAAGTACACACACTCGATGCTAAGTCTAAAAAAGCATTACCACGAATGATGGAGATGCCAAAAGACAATGATTTATGTCCAGAAATTATGAGCTTATCGAACAATAACTTTATAATAAACTTATAAATGCTTTGTAGAATTTACTAACACAAGACTAAACCAAGTCTCTTAACTAAATGGCACTGATAACCATTGGTCATACATCGGAAGCCGCATTCTCAAAAATATTTACGGGTTCGTTGCTCCGTCTGAAAATCACCGACAGCTCTTAATTTGAACTCGCCAATATCAATCGCGGAATCTTCCGCTACGTGTACTTTGACCGCTACGTGTAATTAAGCGAGTTTTGACAATACGACTTCAGATTACAACCGCGTCAACAGCCACATGGCGTGACAATTCGGAATAAAACATGACGACCTGCACAAATATTCGACAATGCAATCAATTGTAAAAGCTAACAGTACTATAATGCAACTTCAATAATGCATTCAATTATACAAGCTAACAGTACTACCTATCTTGCGCTTCAGTTAACAACATAGTGCTGTAAAAAATACTTAACAGTCAGCAAATTGAGATTCATGTAGTCGCCTAACAGCACACTGACAACACCATAGCTGAGCATGAATAAAAAATGCTTAAATAAAAACATCTGGAATCAAACACTTCGAAAAAAGTTAGTTTCATCACGCAGTTCACTTAAAAAGAGTACTTAGTAGATTGTAGGCATATACCTATTTAGTCATATATTATGATACCCTGGCAACAGAGGTCAAGATCAAACAAACACCAAATAACATAGAGCAACAAAATTAAAGCATTGTCTGGAAGGATTTAATAACGTAATACTTAAATTACAGCAATTGAGGCGTGTCATCACAAACCCCATTCACGTTAACACAATAAACTTGAACAACACAGAATGAGCTTACCTCGCACAAATAATGGGTTAACACACAAATTAAAGTAAATCACAATAAAATGAGTTCAACTTATGGCCATAGTCACCAAGCACTTGATTGCACAGGTTAGTTGAACTTACCATGCAATTTGCAGGCCATCGCACATAAAACGCAGGTTAAAATATCATGAAAATCTGTCTAACGGTTAACCAGTAATTTCACCATTAAATAGTGATGATCATTGGCATTCCGAACGCATAGAATAAGATTTCTGGGCCTTGAGATTAAAATTCATAGAATGTTTTAGCTATCCATTGTTGCAAAGCAAATGAGGAAGGAATCTGACATATACTGTGTCACGGATAGGACTGTGATAATTTATAAACCAGCAGGTACAGTTCACTTTGAAGGATTCGCACACTGCTCGCAAAATAAACTACTGTGCCAAAAAATATTATCTTATGGAAACTCTCAAAAATTCATTTTTACGGAATCATAAGATTTAGTATTTTTATAATTTTGATTTTCATTTTACATATGCGGTCGTTAGTTTCTCGGAGAAATGTTTGATCAAAAAACAACATTGAAATAAAAATCCGTCCTAAATAACTCAAAAAATAAAATTAATTTGAAGTCTTGAAGACTGCTTAAATCAGCTAAGTACTTCACTAACAAAAGTGCGAGCATTAGGTCCACAGCTGGGGACATTAATGCAAAGAAAGTCGTCGTAATTTAAGAAGAGCGAGCATCCAAAGACGCGAAAAATGATTTCAGCTTTAGGTAAAATTGAGCCAAGCAGCATGAGAAACGTGCCAACAACCGAAACATTTTGCTGTTACTTCGTTCCAAGACAGCTATGTAGGAATCTTTATATCTTAGAATGACGGTAACTGTTACAAGCTGACAACCAGAATTTCCCGAAATTGAACTTTTCTGACTACAAAAAATGGTCATGTTGCTATGCCGAAACATACCATACTCGTCGATTTCACGACCAGCCATCCTAAAAGTGTACATACTATTAAGTACCGTGGCACGTTTCATGTTGTCATGAGTTAAGTAGGGTTACCAATGCATCTTAATGATGGTCACTAGTGTCATAATAATATTCCAGAAGCTTCTTTCGCAGCGAGCAATGCGGCGGAGCTCTCGTTAATTTTATAAAGCAGATATAAAACGAACCGTTTTTTAACTAAGGCTTGTACTTTCATCACCTGCAAAATAATAACGTTTAAAATTAAATTTTGCTTCGGACAAATGCAGCCCTTGAATAACAACCCACGCTTGAATTTACGTACAAAGCTAGGGACAATAGGAATGACAGGAAAAATGGTAACTAAGTACCGATTGAAGGTGAATATTTATACACGTACATACGAATCACTGAACCCATACAGAAATGATAATCTGCAATAATTAGTCTACAGCAAATACACGATGGAAATCAAATTCAGATAATTTTCAAATCTCCTAAATATCGCGTTAAATAAAATATTCATTTGTTCCACTAGGCTTGGATCGATCAGTTAAAGAGTTAATATTTCGACCACTTACAAACTACACACAAGATCCGGCCGCATCTGAGCAGCAATGCGTAGAGTCGATCTGACGCTGCTGGTGATGTCTCACGAACTCCTGGTGACGTAGCTGCTGCTCGTAATTTGTAACAGGCTTGACTACCGCACTTGACAATTCGAAGACTTTGGAATGAGGATCACAGTCTTTATTTCTGTCAGTCGCAAATGCTGCTTCGTTTGTTCCATCAGTGGATTGAAAATTTTCCAGCTCGGGATTTTCAGGGTCAGGCTCTGAGCACACGAGGGTAGAGACTGAGTTGGATGGCGTGAGGTGTGGTGACGAATTCTGTTTCATAACTGCAGGCTTTTTAAGACAAGACCGTGATTGTTTCTGCTGGTGTTGATGTTTTTCTAGTGAACTACGAGGTTTTCTACCATTACTACCACTGCGTCGTGGCCGAGACCCAACACTTGCTGACCTGCAGACGCAGGAAGATTCACCGTTGCCACTCACTTGCGACTCCGTCGACTCCTTGCGCATGACAAGCTGCGCGCAGCTGCCGTTTTGCTGCTGACGTGACTGGCGGTTCTGCTGCAGGCTTACGATTAGGCCACGCGAGTGCTGCTGATGAGCTGGCTGTTTCAAATGCACGTTAGGGGAATGTTTCAAGTCTTGCGCCCTGCAGGGCTTATTTCCAGATTTACACTTAGGACTGCCTTTGCAATTGCTATCCGAGACGTAAGGCAGAGAAAAAGGACTGCCAAGGGTAGGGCTGGTGAGAGGCTCTAATTCGTGCGTGTTAATTTGGCAGCTCAAATAAGGAGCGTCGAAGTCGTGGGTGGTGTGACCTGAAGTGTAAGGAGCTGAAGGGCAGACACTCGATGTAGACAAAGTAGACTCGCTGACGCACGCTTGCTGGTAAATATTTTTGTCGTTTTGCTCATCTCTGCATGAGCAAAACTCACTGCAGTCACTCGGCGACATGATCTGGCCACAATTTCTCTCAGGACCAACGAGACTCATGAGAGGTAGGAAGAAGAAGGTAGCGTAAATATATGATGCAAGCGCTATAATGATCAAGAAGGTGGCAATGTGGATGTAAGCAAGCACGGTGGCTGAGAGCATTGCCACAGCAGCAGCGAGTGTAGTCAGCGTCGTCATGAGAACAGGACTGCCAAGTCTGGTCAGTGCCCACACGGCGGCGGCCTTACGCTTGCCTGGTGGAGCTTTGGTGTAAGCGACTGCGTAGTGAAGCGTCAGGTCCACAGCTAAGCCGATAGCCGCCGACACAACGATGCTCTCGAGTACATTGAGACGCCACCCCAGTATCACGAGAGCCGCTAACGTCACAAGCATCACAGAAGTGATGCTTAAAACTGCAACAAGGCTCACCATAACATTGCGTGTGGTGAGCAGTAGCACCACAAGGCTCACCGATACAGCCACCAGCACCGCCAGCTTGGTGCCCTCAAGGAGAGAACGCTGTACCTCGTAGAACTCCAGGTAAGAAGTGAACCACCCGCTTCTCAAACCAGGAGGGGCATATTGCAGCTGGCGAGAAGACCATTGCTCTACCTGCACAACCATCACCCATTAACATTTTGCACGTACAAGAATTATATTCATTATCATGAATTTTAACTAATTAATTCAATGAAAGAACCTGATTTCGATGGTGTAGTATTCATAAAAAATAAGTTATTCGTCAAAAGTTTTCAGTAGCATGCAAATAAATAATAGAAAGTTATTATCAGTTCATATAGCTGTGAAAACTAGTAGCAATTAAAATATATATACATTAACTCCCAACTGAGTTCTCCAACTACTCAAACACGCAAAACGAAGAATTTATTGAATAATCAACTTACACTCGTGAAAAATTGATGCATCTGGTCAAATGAGAGCGACCAGACCACATTACTGTCATACTCGATGACGAGAGCAGCCACTTTGTTGCTAGTCTTGTTGAACTTTGGTCCAGCAACACCCGGAACAAAGTACAGGCGAGGGGTTTGGTATAGCACTTCAACGGCTTCAATGATGCACTTATCAAACACCCAGCGTGGGTAAGGGAAAGGCATTACCTCGCAGCATGGGTACCTATTCTTTGAAGCATCAGCACAACGTCTCTCCTCCATCCATGACTTGAAGGTCTCAATAAAACAATTTGGAAGTAGAGGCCCCATGGTCGACATGTAGAAGCTCTGCTTCCTCAAGTCGCGGCAAAATTGCAACAGCCAACTCTGAGACTCAGGAGCTGACATATCAAATTTACTATCAAATTCTAGTGTGGACTCTGAAGCTGGGTTCAGATGGTCCCCATTATCTACAGGCTTCAGCCCCCACACAATCCTAATGGGGAGGCGGTTCACAACATCGCTGCGTAGATTTCTCTCAAACCAGAAGTTGTACTTGTGATCTAAGTCATATCGTTCAAAGTAGTGATCACGATTAAAGAGTTGGAAATCTGCTGAGTCCGGAAGTCGCAATCCTGGGTAATAGAGAACCAAAACACCAGCATAGATGGCGAAGCCAAACAGTAGGCTGGCCCATAGCACTCTTGGCTTCATGACAATCCATGGCATGAAGCTTTCGGAAAAGGAAACAGATAGGCTGTTGATTAGCTCAAACATCCGTGAGAAAGGTTTATGATGCCAGGTTTTCTTCACAACTTTGCAGGTGTCATCAGGCATCTTAATGATGTGAGGCGAACGAGGAGGAGATTGGGAAGTGGAATGCAAGGAGTTATGAGAAAAACTCGATGTTTTAGGAGAGGCATTGGATGACTGGATGTTGGGAGAACGAGGAGGAGATGTTGTTGGAGACCGATGTTGGCGGTAGGGATGATGAGGAGTGTCAAGTGATGCAGGATTAACTGAAGAACATGACCCGAGAAGAGGATGAGGAGATGGTTTACTGAAGGTTGGGTTAGGATGATGAGCAGTAGCAGCGGCAGCGGCCGAACTCAGGATTTCGGAAGAAGGCGCTGAAGAAGGCAGGAGGGAGCAGCAGAAGCAACAACGCCAGCGCTCGGAGATGATAAGGCAAGCTGGCACCCACGTCAGCATCAGCAGCAGGTTCGCCAACACCACCGTGCCAGCGAACAGGCTACACAAATCGAGAATACAGGCGTTGAATTTCAACAAATATCGTGTACGAAGTTGAAGAATAATTAAAACCTTAATACATATGCATTTGGTCCAAAAAAAGACATTTCACCGTTTTGATTTGCACATATTTGCATCAAAAACAGGTTCTAAGCATTAAAACTTCCATATTTTCTCCCAATAGAATCAAATAAATCAAAGAAGATCGCGAAGTTTAGAAAATAACTAGAATAAAAATAGCCCATGTACCTGAAACATTTTATTGCCGTTATGGCAGAAGTGGTGGAAGCAAAAAAAGCAGCAGCAGTAGTGAGCGAAGTGACCACTACAGAGGAGGCGGCGTGGTGCATCACCTCCTGCACGAACTTGACAGGAACCTTGTGGCCCTTGCGTCCACCTCCACCACCGCCGTTATCGCGAGCCACGCTGCGCCACACGCGGCAAAACACGAACGAATCGTCCGCTCCCAAAGCTGCGCAATAAGAGTTTCATGAAAACATACACTTGTAGAAAATTCACTAGATTTCCAGAAAAACATACTTTTCGCCGGAGGCTGGTTCTTCAGCCGTCACAAAATTAAATCTCTTTTGTGATCCCAGGTCTGCATTTAAGCACAGATGTTCGGTATCGGATTCTTAGTGCCCAGAATAGAAACAGGAAATCCTGAACAATAAAAAGCATGCCAATCCATTTGTCCACTATGAATACAGGAATGGATAGCATTGACGACTGTTATTACATAAAGAAAATAATATAAGTTTAAAAATTACTTTTTAAAGACAACACTTCTAAAGAATCCAGTGTTTCCAATGTTACAGATGTACAATGAATTTCTAATTTTATTTTTGAATATTAAAAAAATTAATTTTGCAATTTATTTTATTAACAAATTTTTTTTTCGAAATTATTTATTCTGTCAATTGATTCATGCATTGCCTCCAACTTTACACAAGTGTACACAATTTCAGGTCAATTGGACAGGTAAAAGTGTGTCAAATATCGGTTATAAGATTTGTAGCTGACAAAATTATTTTTTCAATTTTTTAATATTGAAAATTTTTTTAGTTTTCAAAATCATTTATTTTGTCATTTGATTCTTGCATAGTCTCCAACTTTACGCAAGTGTGCAAAATTTCAGATCGATAGGATAAGTAGAAGTGTGTTAAATTTTGATTATAAGATTTGAAGCAGGAAGACAGACAAACAGACAGACAGACAAACAAACAAGAAGTGAAGTTAAAGAGAAGTGTTGTAAAAAGAGTAACGTTGAAGGCACCACTCGGTTACCAGATGTTTATTGACGACTAACATAGACGACGATAAATGTATTAGTGGACAAACAGGTACGTACTAGACTTAGAGCTAGGAATAAAACACTTTAGAAAGAATTACAAGGTGCCCTCTTGGCACGGCACATGAACAAGCAGAGAAAATCCCTAATACAAACATGAGGAAACGGTAATTTTGATACAGACCTCAACGTTCGAAAATCATAAAAATAGGACATATCTCATAAAATAGGACATAAACTCATGGACATATCAAGAAAGGCATAAACCATCAAATGAAGCATGGCGTGCCAACAGAGGCATGTCATACCAATATAGGAATACCCGTATCAACAGAAGCATGACGTACCAACAGCAATGATGCACGACAGCACGTTCATGTAAGGGAAGAAAGAGATTCTGAAGACGAAGGTGTAGAGGAAGTACGCGATGATGAGGGACGATGATACGGTGCAAATGGTGACGATGGTGATGATGAGAGATGACGTGTAGAAGAGCACCAGCAGCAGCACCGCCCCAGCAGCGGCGATAACGAGTCCTGCGTCACGCAGCAGTAGCTTGTCAAAGAGCGCATTCTTCACACCTGCAAATTGAATGTTAAAAAGCATTTGGACTCGAGTGACATACTCATTTTCTGACACAATCATTAAAGTTCGCAATTATATTTGCATATTAGAAATAAGGAGAATTGAATTTAATATATTCAAGGTGATGCATTATGCCAAGGCGCACTGAATTCAAGGATAAGAATACATATATAATTAATATTGGATTGGACGCCTGCTATCTCATTCTTAACTACCTGATTTGCCTGAACTTTGAAATAATTTTCAGAGTGATTTTCTGATTCAAAATTTTACTGTAGTATCCTATTTACGTACATCATGTACTTATTTCTACCAAAATGTCAATATTTAATGCTCTTTGTAACTTGAAAATGAATGTTCGTTACATTCGAAACGTCGTTAATAAACTAAAACTACTTCCCGATATATGCCTTTCGATCTACCAATGTCATCTGAAGAATTGTCCGACTCTTTGATAATTTAAATCAACGAATTCTCTGGTCGTTAATCGCACGCGTATAAATAAACTAATTCTGCCATCTAAAACTAATATAATTAATAGAATACAAATCGGTTAGTTAGATGAACCAGTTATTCACACACTATAAATGTATAAATAAGGATGTGTTATACTTCATATTTCTATCATATTTCTATCATATTTCTCTGAGCCGGTGAAAATATTTTTATATTTTAATATTTTTTCTGATTCATAGTATCATATTTCTCTGAGCCAGTGAAAAATAGTAAGGAATTATCATGAAATAATTCTTAATATAGGAAAATAAAAACAAACACATCTCGTACATTGAATTTGTAAATATAACCATTATTCATATGATACTAAGCAGCGTGATAGGCGTGTGTTAGCAATAAGTTAAATGGCAAACTTTAAACACTTATTGGTCTAGTCTAGTTCATCACATACACCTGATAATTCAGGTAAAGACCAATTTTATCTTATCAAGGATAAGTGGAAAAAAAATAGTTTACAGCTTACCAAGTTCCATGGATATGACGGTAACATTTCCCTCAGAGAGCGACATGCCAGCAAGCTGTTCATAGAACAGCAGGCTCTCGGAGCTGCGTGCAACGGGCAGAAAGATGGCACTCGTGCGCAGGGAGGACCAGTCAGGGGGTGAAGCGTCAGCACCAAACTGTGGAAAAGCAGCCGTACAACCATCAGTGACAGATTCAGAAGGCGCTTTTCTTCATTTGCTTTGAAACAAAAATTTGCTTTGAAGTTCATGTGCTTATGAATTTCGAGACAAATTTAGTAAAAAGAGAGCTTACTAAATTACTACCTAGATAGAGCCAATTTCATACACAGAAAATTCTTCAACTCGCATCTCGAAGTTATTGACCGGCTTTAGATGTCTAGAAATTATGAAAAGTAAATCCAGTTAAAATTCAACGTCAAGAAACGATGTCAACAACGTTAGAACTCACATCATGCTGCTGCATCATGAAGTGAACATCCGCCAGGTAATGCAGGATTGTATAGACGGCATCATACTTCATACAGAGGCGCGGCAGGCGCGAACACTGTGAGCCACATCCTCCCTCGATGCTCTGATCAAAGTGACGTGCGCATGACAGAAGCAGTCCACGGACGTAAGTGACATCATCTTCAGTAATGTCATCACAATGCGTCTTGTTGGTGAGCAACGCTACGTAGTTAGGGATGGTCCAAGACAGACAGCATTGCTCAGGGGATGACCGCTCGCAGATGGTGTTGAATGCAGGAGCCTCACGTATTCTGTGGTCTAGTTTACATATGGACTGAAGGTGCGGGAGACTCAGAAGCGAGTACATGGAGAGATCAGGGGCTAAAGTTGACGAATTTTCAGCCTTGTTATCAGTTGTTGAGAAAACAGACGTAGCAAAAGAAAACGGTGATAAGATATCAGATGACGGTGTAGAGCAGACAGCGCTGGAGACACCTACAATGACATGTGCATATGTAGGAACAGGTGGATTACAGAAAAAGCCGTCAGGAGCAAGGTGGTGATGGTCATGATGAGAGTGTTCATTATCATACTCTGTCTCATACTCATAATCCTCAACCTCATAATAGTCATAGCTTGCAAGAGGTTCGTGAACTGTGAGATAGTCTTTCCTGTCTTGACCATGAAGCATGTCTTGTTTCAAGCCTATGAGCCGCAACTTCTCAATTGCAGACTTATATTTATCATCCCCATCTTCTGCAATGTTGCTTCTTGATCTATTACCTCCCTCATCTTGCAGATCTATGTCGGTCAAGTTCACAATACTGCCGTTGAGTTTAACACTGAATCTGTTAATGACATCACCAGTCTTGGCAGAACCTGCCTCCAGGTGTAGCTCATGTAAACGCTGCAGGTCTTCACTTGAGCAGTTAGGCTGAACCGAGACAACTCCTCCCACAGCTTCGACGCATGCCTGAAATTTATACATTATTAGCTGCGACAATGTAGACAATAACCCTAAAATACAGGAGCACTGAGATGATTGGGTAAGAAGAAGCTTATGTATCAGGTTATTGCTTACTGCAAATTTTTTTACAAACGCTAAGCAATAATAAAGACTTACAAGCAATACAAGTTTCTTTGTTTTATAACATCTCACAGCTCAGATATTTCAGTTCCTTCTATAACCCACAAAGAAATTTGTCAATCTGCATTGTTTCTTGATGACTTAGATATTTCAGTTGAGAGAACAGGATTATCTGCCCAAGACAATTAACAGTATACACTTTTAGTGACTGGCTTTTGAAATATTTGAACGTCTGAATATATATTTATATATTCAAATATTATACTTGAAATCTACTTCTATATTTCAAGCACCGCATGAACTTACCAGTTATGGTGCTTGATATCAAGAAGTTCAAGGAGAAATTAATCCATTTAAAGAAATTACCTATCAAAGAAAATCTTACCATGTGCGTGTGTGGTAGCTTGCGGAACTGCACGCCATGTTTGCCACCAGCTTTAGGCTTTGGTTTGTTTCCTTCACTGGGGTTCAGAGCACTGGGCTGATGAGGCGGCCACGTCTCCCGCGGAGGAGGTTTCTTTGTGGGGTTCACTGTCAATGGTCCTGAAGGACGGGTTGCCTCCAGCATGGCCCTCCAAGCCGCTGCTCTGTTGCTCACCGTCGTGCCACGGGCCTCAAACCCCTGTAGTACCAATAAAGTTAACTTTGCATCTACATTATGTAACTTCATCCCAGACGTTGTCCAAATTATAATGGAGATGATTTCTCTTATAGGTACCTATGGAACCTAATAGATTTTGGCAAATCTAATGGAGTCACAATTTCCCATCCACATTTGGAACTTAGTAGATGTAGGCAAACTCCCAATGTATTTTATTTCCATCTAGATTATAGAGCTTCATAGGTTTTGGCTAAATTCCAAGGAGTTTGTACAATGTATCATCAAGATATAGGTACTGAGGTTTGCTTTGGAGCAATAAAAGCTTCTGTGAACAAAAAAAATTAATATTGTTGCTAAAAGCTGAAACCCAGTGTCTTCTCCGCCTAAGTCAAACATTTGCAGGCAATGAGTTCACAGATTATGACAGGAAATAAAATTAAGCAAGTTAGACGGGAGTGCATAAGGGGTTGAAGTTTAAATTTAGTTACCTGTTTAAAACAAGAACACATGAGACAATACTGAGAAAGAACAGGTTAGTGAAAAACAGCCATTTTAAGACATTCTAAAAATACCTGAGACTTGTAAGAAAAATCATAAGGTGAAACTCTGACAAAAACTATTCAAAAATTAGATTCACAGTGGCTAGTTTAAAAAGTCATTTAATGAGTAAAGTCATTTCAAGCTCACACTTGCTTTTTATAGCAATTAATAAAGACTGCTTTACAAATGGTAAATATCACAGAAAATATTTCACCAGTGAGGGGTCATTGAAGGCAGGCAGCTGCTGTAGTGTAACAGAGATCACTAAGCAGGCTGCCACAACAGCCGTTGCAGAGCACACAACGGCATAAGGATGGTGGCAGAGCAGCTTGTCATACCTGCAGGTTACATAAAATAATGTCAAAACCTGGAATTTGTTTAGGGCTGGTTGTTCCAACATATTTATTTACTGATAATTTAAAATAGTGAAAACATATCACCAGCAATGAAAATAAATATGTTCCCTACAGGATTCCAAAGATTTTCTACAAAATCCACAGATTTTTGTTTAATTAACAAAATAATATTCACTTTTTATTCTTTAGGTTTACTTGAACAACTCTTGAATTATGAAGTAGATTGTCAAGAATCTATTGAACAAATCACTTAAAAGAATTACTTCTTATAAATACATAAAATACTCTCACCATAACATGATTCAGTTCATATGAATGAGGTTGTGAACCAGTCCCAAATAACTGCCATCTTCCTAAGATAGCAAGTATAGGTGAAGCTTCACTGATATAAAGCACTCCTAGTTCTGAAAAGATGAATAAAATGTTAATACCCAATACCCTATATTTGCAGTGATCCAGTTCCAGAAGATGTTCCAGTCATTGTTAAATTTTGAAATATATCAGGAACAAAAAAGAAATTATCATAATACAACAGTGTAAAAATTGAGGTGTGCTACCGTAAAATGGGGTAACTTAGACCACTTTTATTTTTATAAATGATGCCATTTTTTTACTAGCTAAATTAAACTTGAATTGAAACATGCAAAATACAGGTCTATACTCTAGCTTCACTCACCATAAATTGCTGGCTCCTGCCTCTCATAGTCTTTATGTAATTTCAAAAATTTGTTAAAAAAACGAAAAGTGGTCTAAGTTACCCCGCCGGTCTAAGTTACCCTGCCGGTCTAAGTTACCCCATTTTACGGTACCTGCTACCATCCCAAAGCCTTCAAATCAAACTCCAAAAAATAATAATAGGTAATGACTAAACTGACAACAACAAGCCCCAAATTCATGAATTATATAGTCAAGTTGAGTATAGAGATTGATTTCAAAGTAAACAATTTGTAGAATTTATATTTGAGGACAAGAATGTATAAAACATTGTGTCAAGCATAATTGAACTAATTATGAAACAAGCAAAGTATAACAGCAGATTTCAAGGTTGTTAGATTGTAGTACTAACACAGTGCAATTCAATAGGTAACATAAAAGAACATGGTCTTATGACATGTTGAACCGGTCAATGCTTCTTTACGGACCACTGCACAACACACTAGCACCTTCCCAAACAAAAGATAACTGTGCACCAACTGAACCTAAGGGGGGAGCCAGCATCAACTCAGCAGCAAGCTGGGCTAGCAGCTGTGGCAGCTAGCCTTGCTTGGTCAAGAACTTATTTTTTGAAAGCAAAAGGCTTGACAAAGTGCGGTTTCAAGTCTTTAGGAGCCTAAATTTCAGCCTAAAATATATTAAAAATTTACATTTCTGCATGGATTTCAATGCTATTAGCATTGAAAAACTTCAAAGTATCTCGAGCAAGAAATACTTGCCAAATAAATTATAATTTAGATATAAATGTCACTAGAAAATGGAGTGCTCCAACTTGGAACAATCAGTTTTGAAGTGATGTTTATAGATAGCCAAATTAAAATTTATTTAGCAAGTATTTATAACAAGAGAGTGACCTTGAAGTTTATCAGGGTTGGCGATTTTTTTGATTTTTTTAAAAAAATAAAAAAAAATCAAAAATCAATGATTTTTTTGATTTTTTCAACTTTTTTGTCTTTTTGAAGTGGTATTTTTTATGTTGCAATTAGCCTAACTAACAATAACAGTATATGGATCATAATGGATGGCTAAAAAGGGCACTTATTGCCTTCAATAATGGCCAACAGGCCAAGGTAGTGTTTACCACTTAGGGATTTTTGGGTAAACAATTATTGGTAAGTCTATTCATTAGCTTTGTAAAGTTTGTATGGAGAAAGGTAATGAGCTAAATATTGACCATTTAACTGACTTCAATATACAAAAACACTTCAGGAATGCAGATCTTCTAAACATTGAAAGTCACATAACAGATAGGTAGCTGATAGCACAGTGCACAGCACTGTCAATAGATCTACTAGTTTTATGTCCTATAAATCTACCAGACTCTCCTTTCTATACACACCTACTAGTAGTGACTGAGTGACTGACTGCACTGTTCCCATTTAATTCAGACCAATAAACCAATATTTAACATAATATGTGTGAACGTGCTGTAGGAAACTTCCGAGAACAACTCCAACAGTGTGATGCAGCTAACAAACCCCACCTTCCTGATATTGTTTTCAAAACATAAGTACCGGTATTTTAAATGGTATGTTATGCTAATCTTGAGGAAAATAAACTTTCTTCTTTATGTACCTCCATTACTCTTTTATTTTACCTCAAAACTGCTCAATCAGTTCTGCCCCACCCTGTATAAGCTAGCTAACACATTTAAATTGTATATTGTAATCAATATATAACAAATAGTCAAATAGTTAAAGACTACTTATAGCCTTATAAGAATTAGCTAAGCTGCTAGCTACATACAATGTATTGCACACTTGATACCTCTGTCCCAAAAACATTCAATTTATTGGAACCTAATACACACTAAAGGCAACAAGTTTATATACCAATTTGTCATTCATAGTACATTTATACTAAACCATGAATAACAATACCTCAGTATAAATTAAAGACTGCCACTCAATATATTTAAATATATGAAAAAATAAAAAAAAATCGAAAAAATCACGATTTTTTTATAAAAAAATCAAGTGATTTAATCACATGATTTAATCATTTTGATTTAATCATTGCCAACCCTGAAGTTTATTAATGTTAACAGCATTGAAATCTATGCAGAAACATAAATTTCTAATATTTTTTAGGCTGAATTAGGCTCCTAAGGACTTGAAACCATACTTCATTGTGGCCCTTTGCCTTCAAAATTCTCAATCAACCAAGCTGGCACAGCTGCTGGCTAATTATTCAATTTTATAAAATTTAATGAGAAGTGAAGCAGATTTCAAGTCTAGAAAGGCCCACTAACATATTGCAGCACCAGCAGCAGCAAACAAAGGAACTACTTTATTGTTTAGTAGGTTAGACTAAATAAGATAATATCACATTCTGTTTAGGCACAGTCAGTTAAAGTGTTCCATCAACATAATATAATATATATATATTTATATATAATATAGCAGCTTCAGCATTCATTAGGCCTTAGGCCTGTTGCCAATTCTTAGTACCATAAAATGGGGTTACTTTGACTGGCGGGGTAACTTTGACCACTTTACGTTTTTTTAACAAAAACCCCCAAAACTCAAAAACGATTTGACATAGAAAAATTTTGTCGATGGCCATCAAAGGCCTAATATTGAGGCTAAATAACACAATAGAAAGATTTAAAAAGTTTGCATATCTAATCAATTAAAAAATTAATAATGTGACCCATGAAAAAGAGCTACTATTTAAAGCCTGTCAGAGTACCCCCTCTAATTTTTTTATTTTTTGGTAAAATAACTCCAGTTTTTGATGCATTGTAGTAGAACTCTTCTAGTTACATATGCAAAAGACAAATTTTAGGAAAGTGTCATAGTTTCCAAATGGGGGGCGCTGCCCCCCAATGGGGGAACTTTGACCACCTAATGGCAGCTGTGACGGGGTAACATTGACCGGCTTGGTTAAGTATTAAGTTAAAATTACCATAGGTACCTAGGTATATAACATATTTTATGTTTGATACACCTACTAATGTTTTTTCTTTATGTTTCAGACTCTACAGTCTTATATATTGTAATTTTAACTTAATTTCCAAACCGGTCAATGTTACCCATCACGGCTGCCATTAGGTGGTCACATTTCGCCCATGGGGGGTGGTGCCCCCCATTTGCAAACTATGACACTTTCCTAAAATTTGTCTTTTGCATATGTAACTAGAAGAGTTCTACTACAATGCACCACAACCTGGAGTTATTTGGAGTTATTTTACCAAAAAATAAAATTGATTTTACCACCCGGTCAAAGAAACCCCAAGAGCTAGGGTAACAAAGACCATCACTTTTTTTGAAATTACATCAAAACTATGAGAGGCAGGAGCCTGCAATTTATGGTGAGTAAAGCCAGAGTATGGACCTGTATTTTGCATGTTTCAATTATAAGTTTAACTTATCTAGTAAAAAAATGGCATTTTGAAAAAAAAGTGGTCGAAGTTACCCCATTTTACGGTATCGCAGAAGATCCACAGGTTGTTGCGGGCCTGAACTTGCAACTCACTGCTCCAATTCTGCTGTGCTTAACTGCCCAGTCTCCTTGCCAATTCTGACCAGAAACTGGTGCACCGAGCTGGGATCAAACTTGCACCTATCTGCTCCAATCTTGGTACAGTGGACTTCAGTCACTTTAGCCACTGGGGCAATTCCCATTACTAATTATTTATTCATTTATTTGTGGTGCACAAAATAGTTTCATCGTGTGATGTCAAAGCCGATGGATAATGTGGGCACTATGCACATGTAACATCAGTGTTGATACAGTCTCACGTAGCCAACGACCATTTGCCAAGATCAGTTTTTGTGAATATTTTCGAATGTGATATGAATATTTTTGATTGCGATAATGTGAATATTTTTAATTGTCATATTGTAAATATTTTTTAAGCTACTGTCAGCTATATTTTTTAGCTATGTAAATGCCCAAGGACTTCTTCAAATTCCACACTGCCTCTGAGCTTTAACTAGAGCTTGCAAGTTTTGGAGTCATGAGAATCCTACTAGACAAGATATCTCCCTGAGTTCCTTCTAGTTTAGAACATAAGTAACTTTGTAAAAGCAGGAAAACTGGACCAAAGCCACATAAGATTTGTACAAAAACACCTGTGAATCTGGCCAATTGACCATTAGCCCCTAATGGCAGTCTAATGATTTCTAAACTGTATGGACTAATTCACAATTTTTATATACAGTTATTGACAATAAGGATATAAATAACGTAGAAATCCAAGATGCACAAGCAACATTTCTAGGGAGACAGTTTTTTGTCTTTACAATTACTGGGCGGACTATTTAAATATCCCTTGATCAAGAGTGCTACCATTAGCCTTCCAATTTGGTGCCACCTGGGATGCATCATCTGCGCATGCAACCTAATGGGGCGGCTATGCTGGGGCGAACAAGGCGGGTGATCAGGTGAATCGACAGAGTGTGTGATGATGTCAAAGTTGACAACGGAAAAGGATTTAGGAGTTAAAATCAACAATGAGTTGAAATTTTCTAAGCATATTGAAGGTCAAGTTAATAATGCCAAATGCCAATAAACAACTTGGACTAATCAAACGCTCTTTTGAGTTCCTAGATGCAGAATTTAGCAGAAACAATGAAGCATTTGTTTGTTGCTGTTGTGCACCCAAACGGCCAAACCTAGAGTTTGGAAATGTCATGTGGTCACCAAAATTTGAAAAGGACAAAAATTTAGTAGAGAGTGTTTCAAAGACGCGCAACAAGGATAGTTCCGGGCTTGAAAGGCAAGTCCTATGACGTATGAGGAACGATTAAAGATTATGAAGCTTCCAAGCCTCAGTTATCAACGTCTGCGTGGGGATCTCATTGAAGTATACAAGTATACTCATAGCTTATACAAGGTCCCAGAACGCCAGAAGGATTACTAAAATTTGAAACAAGAACCAACACCAGGGGCCATGGCTATAAACTAAAAAAAAAGTGTAGGATCACATTCATGCAACAACATTTCTTCTCGCTTCCGAGTCACCGACATGTGGAACAGCCTCCCTGATGGCATCGTCAACACTCCAAGTATGAACATCTTCAAAAACAGACTAGACGAAGCTATGCAGGAGCATATGTTCAGTCTTAAAATGCCTAGCAAATTACAGACCAGGGCCAGGCAATAACTTAATAAGTCCAGCAGCTATCTCAATCAATCGTCAGCTATGGAAAGATTGGGTTCCAAAGGCCGGATCCCTTATGAATCAAGTCACGAAAAGTTCAAGAATCGGCAACAGGCCATGGGCATGGGCCTATTTCATCAACGCCTACAGGCTACACTTCTATTCTAATAGACTTGAGTGCCTACTACACTGATTATATGACTGATACAATCAACTTGAATCGAGTAAACATAATTGGCTTTGATTGTAATTGAAATCTTACTTAGAAGGTAAGGGAAATAATCTTGAAAGCTATCATATATAATTTGCTTATTCACAGGCATTAAACTAATCAAAGCTTACTGAATAACAATATAGTTTTCTGAATTTTTTCTACCCTCGCTCACCCTGTCTGTAACAGTGTCGTTTGACTTGTGGGTTACATTACGTCTGAAACAACAATATAAAGTTTCCCCATTTGTTAGAGACTACCCTAAATATCGCGCCAACCGAGAGGCAATTTTAATATATTTGTGGAGTAAATAGGCATGAAAGTGTATCCACTTATGATTAAATAAAATTGAATATCAATCAGCCATTATTCTATCTTTATTGACTATCATAATGCTGAAAAAACTACTATTAAGACTATATATTGGCCCCAACGACGATTTAGGGTAGAAACGAGAGACTCGGCGACACAGAGCAGACAGTGACGCCTCCAGGGAACGTCAGATTGAAGAATTCAACGTATTCAAGAGTCTAGTCTAGAGTCAAGACAGTTGTTGATTGCATAGCAAGCTGTGAGGTTTACCTGTAGCCGGACGACCAGAAGCATTTCATCATGGCCTCTCAGAGCAGATGGGTTCCTTTGGAGTCTAATCCCGAGGTATTAAATGTTTATGGAATTGGATGTACTAGTCCAAATTGGTTTTATGAGAGTACTTCAGTTGCAATTGGCAGTAAATTGATTGACTGGTGTACAGTACGCACAGCACAAGTTCACAACCAAAACTTGCATTGCCCGAAGTCCGAACGATCAAGTTAGGTTCCCATGTTGCCTTTCTTCGTTCTTTTCGATTATGAAGTAATGAACGGTATTTTAAAATCAGGTGGCATGGAATGTAAGGCTTATAGATTACTACAATTAGTCACAATTTCGTATGGATGGTGTAAAATTTCATATCTTCCATTTTTTATTCTAATAGATTAATTCTTGATTGTGGAATATTATTTTACCTATCTTTATAATTCTTGATATCATATATCTACTATACCTATTAATAATAAGTTCATTCTACGATTCTAATAATGGACATAGTAATTTTATTAGCTGGTGATAAATCATGGCTTTAAACAGCATCTGATTTGTCATTTGTTACTGATTTCTCTGGTGTTGCCAGACGCCAGCTGTAATAAAAGTATGAGGCGCAGTGTGCACTGAAACGCCATTTTAGTCTAACGTGGTAATGATTTGTTGTATAGGTAGGATTAAATTGATAGACCTGTTGAGTGTTGTCAATGACTAAGAGAGCATTTCATGGAGTAAATTTTCCTTTTGTTGTTACATCTTAGTCTTACTTGCATGATGGAAGTTAAACACTGAGAACCACAAATAATAATTGATGGAAATAATTTGCTTGTCTTCATATTTCAGGTCCTGAACAAGGTGAGCGAGCAAGGATACCGCTGTTAATACTCACATTAAGGTAATCTTCTTAAAACTGTACCATAATTTGTTTAACATGTTTGTCATTTTCATTTTTCTAGCTCTAGTTAACGTTACTTATTAGTACTAACTACACTAACTTGCTGTAGTGTTATCAGCGGCCTTTGCGCAAGTGTCCAGGCAGTCTAAAATCAATACGGTTCAGGTGGCTTGGTTTGGTACACGTTGCATGATCTGAGTCATCGCCTCAAAGATCTGTCGATTGCTTGTATTGAACCAATATTCACACAATCCGTAGTCAAGAGAACCAGCTATTCCTTCCCTTCTCTCTGAAACTGCCGAGCGTTCTCGAGTTGTTGCCTTTCCTTCCGTTATAGGATTTGCGTGAAGCATTAACGTGATCGACAGTGGTTGCTACATTCAATTGTCAATTCCCAACCTTATTGAAACTCCAAATTCTACCGTCAAGGTCAAACAAATAAATACTGTGATTAGGCATATGATCGTATTTTTAGTACATAGTGATTAGTTGAGTTGGCAGAAAGCGCACTTTTCGATTGATGGATTACCACAACTCGTAAAGTAGATTTTGGTTTCCTTCTATAGGCTTCGGTAGTAAAGTTTGCGATGATCGAAGCCTAACAACTCGACGCAAATTAATGTAGTTTTTGAGCTATGGGTTACCCGCTTGATTTCATTTTCTCGGAAAGGAATGCGCAAACGCTGTAAGTTCTACGCCCATGGTCTCGAGTCTTGGCTATGTCGAAATTGAAACGGAGTGATGTTGACCACTAATTTGCCGATTTCCTACCGACTTAGTTACTTTCAAAGCGGCTAGAACTTGTGCGAAGTAAGCCCTTGATTGCATTACCGATTACGGCCTTAAGTAAATGTTAAAATACTAGCCTTCTATGAAAAGTTCGTCACTACAACGGAATGTTTATTTTTTGCCGCGACCGTCAAACTAATCTTGCATCATGCATTATTACTCAAGGCTTAGTCACTCTGACGGCCGGCTCAATACCCGGTGTGCCTCTCTGCTGTCATTTATTGATTTGCACCGCTCCCAACGCTAGTCTCTATTCAAGTTTTATTATAAGAAAATCTGATGGACATAAGATAAACTTTTGTAGCGCTCGTCCATGTCAATTTGGCTGAAAGAATAGAATCAGAAGAATTCCAAATATGAAATTTGTTAATCCTTTTTTTCACCGAGATATGCTTCATAATCTTATCAGTGTATCATTATCGGTCTTCTCTCAAATTTTGACCTTAAACCTCGGAGCACTTGTAAAACATGAAGCTAATTTTAGGATTAGTGTTAAGTTTTAATTCAAATGGATTCTGTAAATCGCAACCTATTAGTCCGGCGCCAGCAATGCGACTTCAGGCCATGCATCCAGCAGTACCAGCCGATAGTCGCTATTCTTGTTGTCTTGTACTGACGCCTAACCAGACTAAACCAGTCGGTACTCGGTACGTCCACTATCTGTTTTCCTGTCTGCTCGAGTAGAGGCTAGTGCAAAAATAGATTTTTTTCCGACTACTAACTGCATAGGATGTGCAAAATTTATCTTTTCAGAATACTTGTCTGCTTCGGCTGTGCATTTTTTTTTTAAATCGCTGTCGATGCCAAGCAAATAATGGAGTCGAATCGTCTCAATTTTTCTAATACGCTCGTCGAAAGGTTTTGGTGGAAGATAGGAAACCTCTTCACGCGATTATGAAGTAATTTTCGATTGACTCTCGAAGTACATGGATGAACAAATAACCGACGCACCTAGCAGTTGTATACCTAACTAACCTAACTTTTCTCGGGGAACCGTATCTGAGGGAATTTTGTAACTTCAGTGACTACAAAACCACACAGTTACTCAGCTTCAGCTCCGCAGCGAAGCCCTTCAACGTCTCCCTGCTTCCATTCTTTGATTCATAATCTCGTTCTCCTTCCTGCTTTCAGGATTACATTTTAATATGGTGTTGCCTGTGCAATAGCGACATTCTTCGGATCTCGTTGCTGGAAGTTATCGAAGCTAAATGTGAATGAATGTTTCTGAGGATTGATAATAAAATGTAATGTTGGTGCTTCCGAGGACAGGTGATTTTTAATTGACGCTTAATTTTCAGATATTCGTGTTTATCGTTCTGTTAAACATGGGAAGTTTCGTATAAGCCAACACACTCGTTCAGTTGCTATAGATTGAATTTTTCTAGTTTTACGGCTAATTAGGTTACAAACTTACAAGGCGCGGCCATGCCTCATTGTACTAAACAGTTAGTTGCAATGTTATGTTCATAGAATGTACAATGTGTATTCAGATTAATGTGACTGTTGGAAGTTCGCCTTCATTCCTATATAGGCCGTTAGATAAATTTTATAAGATAATCCAGGCTGAATGGTGATACCGTAGCGCTTGAGTAATTTAATAGTCTCTATAAATTATCAACTTGATGGGCATAATTTCCCTCACAAGTGTTAACCAAGGCATTTCCAGTTCCTGACAGGACTGGGTGTGCCTGAGAGCACCCGAGTGAGCGATGTGCTAGGACTGGACGAGGGCCTGTTGGCTATGGTGCCTAAGCCTGTCTATGCCCTGTTGCTGCTCTATCCCCTCACTGATAAGGTAAGGAGCTTGCTTGCGTGTCGACACTAACCCTGGCAGTGGCTGACTACAGTCTTGGTAAAGTCAATGCACTGCTTTATATTAATAAAACACGCCGATTTTTTGTCGATGATTTATTGCCTTTCAACGGCTTGGATGTTTGTCACTAAAAAATTCATTTTCGAATAAAGTTTTCCTATTGGATATCTGGTGGGTTTCATTTTGTGGAAGTTTTTTCGTGGTCATAGATTCTAAAGTCAAGAGTGGGTTTTCACGTTATCTTGATTCACGAATTTTTCACCGCATTTCTGTAATTCGATTATAGTCCGAATACTGAATTTTGAATTTCAAAATGTTCTTTTCAACGTGACCAACACAAAGGCTACTGTTGCCCTGAGGTCCCTTTTAGTCTACAAGAAGTGTAATCTCTTGTCACTCATTCTGAAGAAATCGCTTCTATTTATTCGCCTCAAGACCAGTTCAGTAAGCAAATTATCATTGCCTGCCGCAGTGCCTCTATTTGACTTCAAAGGCCGTATTATCAGAACTCGCTCTGAAGTACACATGATGACCGATATCTCGCCTGTGATTGGTGGTTTTAGCTTGGAAATCAGTCAGTGACTGGCTGACCCAGTAAGAGCTGGTGACCATTTTGATTGTACGGTACCTATTCATTATTGCTATGTTTCAGAGCGAACAATTCAAAGCTGAGCAAGAGTCAGCCATTGAGGACGGTGGCCAGGACATTTCCAGCGACCTGTTCTACATGAAGCAGTACGTCGGGAACGCTTGCGGAGCTGTGGCCCTCATACACGCTCTCGCCAACAACGCTCAGAGGCAAGCCTTGTTTTCCCTACATTAATAATATTGATATTAGTGCGATTATTAATGGTACTATATGTATGATTATATTTTCTAGCCGACAACACCCAACTTTATTTCGGATTCATGACTCGTCTAGACTATCTCGCACTAAAATCCTGTTTAGAACTTACTGCAAATTTTCATTTTGGTTTTATCAATAGTTGGTTAACACTATTTAGGAAAGCGTCGATTGCTCTGTCATATTCCGCTACCCTATGCGAGGGTTGCGTTCAAATTATAAAAAGGGCCTAGAGAACGTGCATGCTTGAAGTCGTATGTGAGTGAGCTGGTGTATAAATTAAGTTCATTTAGCACTTGACACTATAACTTAGCTTTTATTTATTATTAGTAACTAGATTCTTACGGCCTTAACATTCGATTGAAATGCAGTAATCAGTGCAGCAGGTAGAATATTGATGCAAGAATTTTACTTCCAAAACTGTGCAAAAATTCTCTCCAGTGAAACTGGATGTGCATTGAATTTTTACTCTATAATAGGGATTAAAGGTGTTGGTGTTCACAGAATTGCATGGAGCGATGGCCCCCTGAAGACATTCCTGGAGAAGACCGCCTCCATGAGCCCTGAAGAGCGCGGCCATGCCCTAGAGGAGGACGACACGCTCGCTGCCATGCACGAGAGCTGCGCTTCGGGGGGACAGACCGCCGTCAGTAGCCACAATCTTGGCTCATCTCTTGGCTAATCCCAATCTAATTTAATTAATCGGCCAAAATCATCGCGGACACTCATTTTGTGTCTGTATCGGTTTCGCTGAACACGATAAAATTTGTCAGTCTTTAAGGGCACAACTCGTCGGAATCACGAGTTGTGCCCCATAATTTGCCCCTTCAGATAATTTTTTTTTTTTGCATAAAATAAAATCATCGGTTGCGGTCATGGAATCGATAGCCGCTTTCCATGTTCGATGTGTCGGGAGACCTGCTACTGTAAGCAGAATTTCACGTTTAATTGCAGTTCTTTAGCATTGTAATCGGATGCTTTGTAACCGATGCTTCTAACATGAGCGTGACTATTAGTTGAATGCTAAAGGATTAATTACATTTTTGAGTAATTTATTACTGTTCAAACTTCGTAATTGGGAATGGAGATTGAGGCCCCAGCGACAAATTAATAGCGAAGTTTCGCACTTCAAGTAGGCGAATCGTCAATCACCATTACTAAGTATTACAAAATAACTAAAACCCCCCCAAAATTCTCATTTTCAGGCTCCTAATAGGGACGACAAACTGGATACCCACTTCATTGCCTTCGTCAACGTCGACAACACTCTATACGAGCTTGGTAACTATTTCTAAACAGGCTTGATTAATTTCTAAGTTTGTGAACTTGTGAAAGATGGTGACAATATGTTCTCCTTTGTGAGCTCTGGCTCTTGCGCAATTTAAGATTAGATTACATGCCAGAAGTATTCTGGAAACGGGAGCATTTTTTTTTTCTCAGATGGACGCAAGAAGTTCCCGATCAACCACGGTGGAACTTCGGACGAAACTTTCCTCATCGTAAGTTTTACTTCTTTAAAGTGTAATTCTGAATAAAGTATCGAGTGATCGCTAAAATGATAGAACTGTTGACTTGTAGAGGTAGGATAACTTTTTCATTTCAAATCGCGCCTAATTGGATGCGACTGGTCTATGTGATTATCAAAATGCGCTCACTACCTAACATTATCTTATTTTACAGGATGGTGCGAACATCCTCCGCAGTTTCATGGAGCGCGATACGAAGGAATCTCGTTTCGCTGTCTTGGCTTTGACGGCTGCCGAGTAAATAGTTATGAATGCTGTTCGTTTTAACTACTTCGGTCGTGAGCCTTGAAAACCAATTAAGTTAGATGTTCTTTGATGCTGTCTTAATATTATCATCGTTATCTTGCCATGCGATTCGTGATCTTCGATCGATCAACCAACAAGTATTTCTTGCCTTGTGTGACCGTAATGTGGCATCGCCTTGTGTTCACGTGCCTTTCACAAATTATCACTTGATCTTCTATTATTACCACCTCTTACATTCCATTCAGTGTCTTAAGTTATTAGGTCTTCGAAATTTGTACACGAATTTCAACGTTGTCGCTAGTCATCTCAAACAACGGAGCCTTGAATACCAGTGCCTAAATCCATGTAGGAATTGACTCATGAACGGATAAATATTTCCTACTTGACTATCACTCGTACGTGCATCTCTCTATGTCGACACTTTCACGAGGAGTTTTTACAATCATTATGAACACGAGCGAGCGGAGTGCCATGCACGCACGTGTTAGTGTGAAAACTCCCAACTTATGCTGTGGAAGGAAATATCTGAAGACACGTTTGATTTTTTTTTCTGATTATTAGTCTCCATATGAGATTAAATGGAATCTCTCGCCGTTGTGCTTGATGGCGAAGCTCATCGTTCTCGTTAGATTTTGTTTGCTGTAAACGCATTAAAACTCATTGGAACACTTTATTTGACTTTTTTCCCCCGATTCAAAAGTCTTCTACCAATAATAGCTACTATTTCCAAATGCCATGGTATGAATAACTTGCCCGATTGTTGGCTGAAGAAAATACTTCGGTCAAGGAACGGGACACGCTGAGGCTTCGAATTTTTAAATTCACTTCATGTGAACATCGTACCGTCATGTTCTACATCTATACTACTCGCATTGTTGAGTTAATCTATCTTCAGTGTGAGTGGTGATGGCAAAGACTATTTTAACGCGGATTACGACTGAATTTTTTTTACAACGACTAAATCATCGAGTTCGCTACTTCAGTCGCGGTGCTATCCGACAATCCTACACATTGTACGGAGTTCGTGGATTAAGTGCTCGGAGTCTAGTAACGCAAATGTATAGGAGTTATGGGGGTGAACATCCAGGATTCTCGTGTTGGAATATCACCAAAAGCTAAATTTTTATTGTTGGTGAGAGATGGGAAAAGTGGATCGAATTTTCAAAGGGTTTTAAAATTGGTTGGTGACAGATTTAATATTTAATCTATTCAAAGTAGTTTATTATAGGATTTAAATGAAACGAAGGTAACATGAAGTCTCGTTTCCAATATGAATGTTTGTTTTGACGGGGGTCCTTGTTTTTAATCGGAAAACGTAAGCCTTATATTAGCAAATAAATGAAATTCTATTTTTTCAACCTGACTTTATCAATTGAATATCTTTAATTATATTAATTCAGGGCAACGCTATTGGTTGACGTGCTATATATTGTGCTATAGTAGTCCGTAGACTATGTTGAACTGCAAAATCTGAAGAATCTCAAACTGGACCATTGGTCCGATACCAACAGCGTTTGGCACCATCAGAATAGTTATACCTCAAATACCGTTTCTGTCAAAAAAAAAAAAAACTTTGTAAGGTATTCCGTGATATTTTGATGCACACAGTGACAGTACTGAATAACAGTATAACACTGTCTGTGTGACTGTGTCTGTACCCTACCCGATACATTTGGCCCTTCCTTGAATGCAACATAAACAGAATTGTTGGTTGAAAATTGTAACACACCTAGTAAAAACAGCCTGTTTTTCACCCATTATCACTCTGAAGATGCGTTTTTTTTCACACCTAAGGATACAACGAAACTCGGGTAATGGAACTCGCTACTATGAAATCAGAAACATCACAAACGTGAGACCTGTTTCTATAGCACACCGTTAATTGTCAGTAGTGCGTGGTTTAATAACAAAGGATAACTTTTCAAATTATTTTGTTTGCGAGTAAAGAGATTATTCCTGAGCGCCCCACCGCCGAGTTCGCGGTTTCTGACAGCATGTCTCAATTGTGGGGTTATCATGCAGGTAAGATTCCTTGCATTTCCCGTCTCTGCCTCTCTCGTGCGGGAAGCCGACGTCCCGTGTAAGCGGCCTCTTGTTCGAGTGTCTTAGTTTCTGTTGCTTTTCACCAGGCTCTCCTTGTCACTTCGTCTCTTTGAGATGCTACCGCACCTTTTTTTGAAACTGGATAATTTAGACCTTCCGCCTTGTGGGTGATGATTAATTTAAGATTTTGAACAATTGAGACCTTCCGCCTTGCTGTCGATGTTATATTTTGACCTTCGGTGCGAAATACTTGATAGCTGAAGCCCTAGCAAACCATTATACTACTACTACTTGTAAGTAAAGCCTAGCGCTGCAATTATACAGGTGCTACTGGTACGAATAGCTGCATCAGAAATTTTATTTTGAATTGTGGAATCACGAAGAATGCGAAATGGGTTGTAATAAAAATGTGAACTTTTTATGCTATACTACAACCCCCGGCAAAAATTATGGATCACCGGCCTCGGAGGATGTTCATTCAGTTGTTTAACTTGGTAGAAAAAAACAGATCACAGACATGACACAAAACTAAAGTCATTTAAAATGGCAACTTTCTGGCTTTTAGAAACACTATAAGAAACCAATAAAAAAATTGTGCAGTCAGTAACTGCTATTTTTTAGACCAAGCAGAGGGAAAAAATATGGAATCACTCAATTCTGAGGAAAAAATTATGGAATCATTAAAAACAAAAGAACACCTCGACTAACACATCACTAGTATATTGTTGCATCACCTCTGGCTTTTATAACAGCTTGCAGTCTCTGAGGCATGGACTTAATGCGTGACAAACAGTACTCTTCGTCAACCTGCCTCCAACTTTCGCTGATTGTTGTTGCCAGATCAGCTTTGCAGGTTGGAGCCCTGTCACGGACCATTTTCTTCAACTTCCACCAAAGATTTTCAATTGGATTAAGATCCGGACTATTTGCAGGCCATGACATTGACCTTATGTGTCTTTTTTCAAGGAATGTTTTTACAGTTTTTGCTCTATGGCAAGATGCATTATCATCTTGGAAAAATGATTTCATCATCCCCAAACATCTTTTCAATTGATGGAATAAGAAAAGTGTCCAAAATATCAACGTAAACTAGTGCATTTATTGAAGATATTATGACAGCCATCTCCCCAATGCCTTTACCTGACATACAGCCAAATATCATCAATGGCTGTGGAAATTTGCATGTTCTCTTAAGGCAGTCATCTTTATAAACCTCATTGGAACAGCACCAACAAAAGTTCCAGCATCATCACCTTCCCCAATGCAGATTCGAGATTTATCACTGAATATGACTTTCATCCAGTCATCCACAGTCCAAGATTGATTTTCCTTAGCCCATTGTAACCTTTTTTTCTGTTTTGGTGTTAATGATGGCTTTCGTTTAGCTTTTCTGTATGTAAATCCCATTTCCTTTAGACGGTTTCTTACAGTTCGGTCACAGACGTTAACTCCAGTTTCCTCCCATTCGTTCCTCATTTGTTTTATTGTGCATTTTCGGTTTTTGAGACATATTGCTTTAAGTTTTCTGTCTTGACGCTCTGATGTCTTCCTTGGTCTACCAGTATGTTTGACTTTAACAACCTTCCCATATTGTTTTTATTTAGTCCAGATTTTAGACACAGCTGACTGTGAACAACCAACATCTTTTGCAACATTGCGTGATGATTTACCCTCTTTTAAGGGCAACATTGCGTGATGATTTACCCTCTTTTAAGAGTTTGATAATCCTCTCCTTTGTTTCAATTGACATCTCTCGTTTTGGAGCCATGATTCATGTCAGTCCACTTGGTGCAGCAGCTCTCCAAGGTGTGATCACTCCTTTGTAGATGCAGACTAACGAGCAGATCTAATTCGATGCAGGTGTTAGTTTTGGGGATGAAAATTTACAGGGTGATTCCATAAATTTTTCCTCAGAATTGAGTGATTCCATATTCTTTCCTTCTGCTTGGTCTAAAAAAATAACCGTTACTGACTGCACAATTTTTTTTCTTTATTTCTTATAGTGTTTCTTAAAGCCATAAAGTTGCCATTTGAAATGACTTTAGTTTTGTGTCATGTCTGTGATCTGCTTTTTTTCTACCAAGTTAAACAACTGAATGAAGAAAAAAAATCAATGAACATCCTCCGAGGCCGGTGATTCCATAATTTTTGCCAGGGGTTGTAGATACGTATATTAAATTTTTATTCAATATCATTTAGATTTCATTCAAACGTCAAACACAACCATGCAGGGTTTTCCATTATATATTATATCCATTATATATTCGTGAAGTTTGTTCCTGTGTTTGAAACCTAGTCCTGCGAATGCGATTATAGCACAATTTCATTATACCTGTCGTGCGAGGACCTTAGCCTGAATTTTTATCACAAATTGGGGAATCGTGGGACATTGGAATTATATTGTAGGAAGCTGTATATTGTAGGAAGCTAGTGTGTGTTTGTTGTTTGCGAAGCGTTGTATGGCAATATATAGGAGCTGTGTATAATATAGGGTGCACAATATCGACGGGAATATTAGAATATTATTGATTATTTGCTGATCTTCTAGTCGGGCGTAACTATTAGGCACTACAGAAACGCGAATTATAACAGAAGAGTTTGCCTGAAATAATAATGAAGTAATTGAACTATCTTCAAATTGAATGAGAACGCAAATCAAGATTTTTAAAAACTCAAGAACAGGAGTCTACATGGGTTTATTTTTTTTTTCTTTCTTTTTTTTTTTTTGTTGAAAATGAGGCTTCGAACAGGTCGTTTGAAAAAAACAGCTTCAGCGAGTTATTTGCAATTATTATTATTATTATTGCAGTAAGACGATTGAATACATAACAGTTCAGTGATTCGTTCGTATAAAACGTGCCGGGTTGGTCATCCAAAATCTCTTCATATTTCTTGAAGTTAAGATCCAGGCGAATCTCATGGATTTATCCAGCATAACAATGTTAGTTTTCACAGCAAGAAATTTGTTGTGTTATAGTTATACTAAAATTATCTAACTCTAACTTAACATTACTTATGACATACTGTATATTGTTGTCTATGCCGACGAATATTGCAAACAATTGTTACCGGATCAAGAGACACGAAAATAGCAGATGGCAAGCTGAAATTTTGAAAGTTAGAGGTTTTGAATTTTGAACAACTTATAGGTTCGCTATTTTTTGCTCGGAGTCGGCGAGAAAATGTAAAACTCTTCATTTTTATCATCAGAAATATTTGTAAAAATTTCTTGACAAAAGTTGCCTCAGTTGGAAATTATAATTTTTGAAAATATTAAATAAGATATATTAAGATAATGAAAAATACGAGTTTTAAAGTATTATTGGACGGCCTAAAGGCGAACGCGAAAGCAAATTATACAAGTAATCCAATTAGTATACATATGTTTGAAGACTGATCGAAATGGCGTAGAATATATCATTATAAGACCATTGTATCTGAAGTTACTTGCCTTATAGATTTTATTAATTTTTGCTACTACAGATACGAAAAAATATATAGAAGATAACGTAGATAAACGCTTACAGCTTATACAAATAAGTCGACAAAGTTTCTAGTGATGGATAAATAAAACAGTAGTTGTTTAATTTTTAACTGGCCAGCGTCAAAATTTAGTTCCATGTTATTT